TCCATCAATTCCTGGTGCCTTGTTCTTTGCCAATTCCAAGTGATGAACTACTTTCAAATATTTAGTCACTAAAAACCTTATGAATACCAGAGAACTAATCTTAGGGTCTGCTTATACTCCTCACCAGTGTGAGATTAAGAAGAAACCTGCCAGAATGAAGGTTTTATCAACATGAATACAGAGGAGGGGCAGGAATAAGATGTGAAGGAGGTAGAAATCCATCTGACTGATTGAATATCAAAAGGAAGAGAAGTTAAGGGTGCCGCCGAGGACTGCGGGTGAATTGTAGTGCCATGAACCATGATACAGAGTACAGAAAAGCAGCAGATGAGCAAAATTGAGTTCCATTTGGAGCCTGTTGAGTTTGAGATGGTTGTGAGAGGTTTAGAGGGGACATCGAATAGCCAATGAAATAAGATCACTGGTGAGTGAATTGACATTTCAGGAATTTATGAAAGAATCATAATATGGGAAAGAATCACATCACCAGGAACCCAACTTTTGACCTTCTTCCTGGCTTCCTTCTCCCACTTCACTCTGGAGGGCACACAGATTCTTCTTCTGGTCTCACCCATGGTGATTTCCTCCTCTCAGCTAGTACCTTGACATACCTGATAGTCATGCTCACCAGGGTCTCTCCTCCCTATGGGCTGGTCAAGGCATTTTCCCCAAGCAAGGCTGATTGTCTCTTTCTGTTGCACAACAACTTTTCCTACAACTGAGTTAATGGTGAGTGCACTGGGTAGTGTTATTTGGAATCTTATGATTTTACTGGCGGAAACACCAGCCTGAAATATTGAAATAATCAATTCTGAAAGGTTTTCTTTCATTCAATGAATATAAAATTGATCCTCTGAATAAATCAGTTGCATAAAGTTATCATTTCCAGCTCAGGAGATGAGTCCCAAGTCTATATTTTAGTACTGCTTTATGACCATTTCTTGTTTGATATTCCATATGTGGTCAATCCCACCAAGTTAATAATGGCTCTCTTCCCACCCCCTTGAAACACAGGGTAGACAGGGATAGGCAACTTGGACATTGGCCACCCAAAACGGGGGTGGGGTGGGGGGTGGGCTACAAAGGCAAAAAGTGACTGGCTTACAAGCTTTCAAGAGGGAGCCTAGATCTAGAGGGTGCGTAGGAAGGTAGAATCTCCGCTGAGTAGTATCCAATCTGTCTGGGCGGGGCTGATGAAAGGAATTGCGGGTAGCACTCATGTGATACAATAGTGAATAATTACTATCAGGACTGACTGTGAGGGTTGGAAATGTAAAGGTAGATGTTTTGAAGCAAAAGGAGGGGAGTGGTTAACTTTGCAGTCCAGGAGCAG